GCGTGTCTGGTTCTGTGTCTAAATTTCCCCTTTATGTAAGAAGACAAGTCCTCCTGGATGAGGGCCCACCTAATGAACTCATTTTAACTTGATTACCTCTGTAAAGATGCTATTTCCAAGTAAGATCACATTCTGAGGCACTGGGTGCCAGGGTCTCACATATCATTTTAGTGAAAATCAATTCAACTCATAACAGTATGAATGTGGCTAGAATATGGGATGTATAACATGGTGGAATGGGGAAAAAAGGAAATGGTTAAATGCCTGGAAATGGGACCAGAAAGATGGGCATAGTTTACTTAAAGATAAGGACTTTCTAAATAGAAACACAAACTCTGATTTCAAAATAAAATCTAAGTAGTTATGTCTTAAGGACAGAGATCAACACTCTCTATCTATAATCAGATAATTTTGATCTGTGTCATTACCAATCATAGACTTAAGGAATGTGCCACATTTCTTAAGTCTATGATTGGTAATGACACAGATCAAATTTGATTCTTCAATCTTCAGTTTCCCAGTTCTGATGAAAAAATTTTAATTGCTTTTGCTTTAAAGTAATATAAAAATTAATGAAAATCATAGAAATATGTATATTAATAATGCTAATTCAATGTTTTTGAACTATTAAAATAGATGTAAATTCCGGAGTTCAAAAGTTACCTTTTCATTTTTTTTTAAGTAATTATACGTTTGCCGTTCAGCCATTTGCTTAGCAGCATACTTGTGGAATACTTTACTGTCTCACCTCCTACATTTGGTGCTTGTCATTGCCTCCTGACTTTACTTACCTTGTCCAACCTAAGATGACTATTTTCCATGACTCTGCAAAGCACAGTCTGCATCCTTTGCTGAAATCCTCTGCTTTGACATCTTCAGGCAATGAGTAAATCCAGTCATCTACCCTTTTCACTCCCACATCCAGATTGCTGAGTGCTGTCTTCCTCTAGCACCAAGTCAGTAGTTTGATGCCCCTTCACATATATAGATTCAGATCCAGCTAACTGCTAAACACTGTGCCATGAACTGGTGACTGCTCTATTTTCTCCTTTTTACCTTGGAGAAACTCTTTAGAATTTCTTGGTCTCCTTAAGATCTCATCCCCACTATTGCCTCTTGAACATATTTAAGACTTCACAGAGAAATGTGAGGTGTTTTTTTTTTTTTTTTTTTTTCGTTTTCCTTCTCTGGTCTTCCCTGTTCATATATCTTCAATTAAAACTCATGAACTTACAAATAAACCTGCATTCTTACCTCTAGTTTTATAGAAAATGTTCATCTGTCTTCATTTGGTCTAATCATTATGTTAGTGACATTGCTTTTACCTTATTTTTTTTTTCTCTTGAACTTTCTCCTATCAACTACTCTTGGCATTTTCTCTCTTCCTTTCAACTGGCTCCTTCTGAATCCGCCATAAATATAATCATGTCTCTTTCATTAAAAAAATAAACAAGCAATATTTTTTCCCTTATCCATTGTTTTATTCAAGGAATACATCCAGCGGTCTCAGAGAAACACAGAAGTAATCCGTCCTTTCATTTTGTTACCTCCTCTGGCTGATTCTTACACTTACTAACTTGGGTTTGTGAGTTTGAGGTCTGCATTCCAGGCTTACTGTTCTACTGATTCATACCTGCAAATTCTGTGTCACTTCTTTTTTTTCAGTTCCTGTCTCACTTGGACACTAACTGGGAGTCTTCTTTTCTCTCTCTTAAAAATTACTCATCATCACTGATGATGCTAGCTACCATATCTTTCCCACCTCTCTGAGACTGTCCTGTTTCAGCCTAATTTATTGCCACTCTTTCTGACGGCTCATAGACTTGCATGTTTGGCTATCTGCCCACTGTGGACAGATCTATCCGCTAACTAAAACTGATATTTGCATGACACCCATATCAACAAGTTCAGCCGAGAGACTTCCTGATTCCCTGAGTTGTAATTTCATACGGGCATTTCCAAAAGCTTACTCAATAGCTTCTTGGAGATGCACCTCATAGACCCCAATGCAACATTCCCCAAGTTGAACTTTACAACTTACTCTTCCTCCTGTTCACTTTATTGGTGAACAATATCACCAACACACAAGCTAGAAATCTGAGTGTCTCAACTCCTATGTTTGAATGATTGCTAAATCCTTAAATCTATTACATGTATTTTACCTCTCCATCCCCATGGCTATTGCTGTGAAAATCACTTTTCTCTGGGCTATTGAAATAAGTTCCAAACGTATTTTTATATTTTCTATTTCTTACATGCTTTAGGATGTGGTTTCCTCATACCGAGTCTTCTTGAAATGGCTCCCTTCCTTGGTTTAGCCCATCTGAATTTTTTGTTGTTGTTGGCTGTGGTGAGTCACTGACATACTTAAGACTCCCTGATGAAGGCCATCAATTGCTTCTTTAGAGAAATGCACACTCTCACATGCACACAGGCTCACACATTGTTACAGTGGCATCAGGGGATTCTGGATTCCATGGTCTGACAAGGAATCCAGTGGTCCAAACTGATTTCTAGCCACACTACTCTCCAACACCTTCTACAACACCAAATATGTATAGTTACCCCTAAATGTCATGTTGTTTCTTGCTTCATGATATTGCCTCACACAACCCCTGCTTGCCACATTCACTTAGTAAAAGAGTAAAATACTCTGGTTTTCTGTCTGTTAGCCTCAGATCACCGTCAGACATATACTTATTCTTTCCTCAAATCTATAGGTCTGGTTTGTTTCTTCCATCATAGCCCTATTATATATGATTTCTATAAGACAATAAAATAACCTAGGGTAGACATTGTGATTTAAAGCAAAAGAAACTTAGATTCAGAATGACATGGGCTTGCAGGCATGGTAGATTTGGATGTATTTGGTAAAAGGCACAATGTCCCCAATCCAGCTACCAAATTACTCTGAGTTTGAGGAAGGAGAAATTTCTTCAGTCAAGTTAGTACCGTGTAAAGATTTATAAAAGAAGTGGCCTTTAAATTGGTTTTATAAGCTATATAGGATTTGGAAATGCAAAGTTTGGAGGTAGAGAAGAAAAGTGAGAATTCTACCTGGACCACATTTACTAAGCTGCTTTCAATCGTAAAAATTAGAAGCTTGATGTGTCATTAGATTCTTTTTCTAGCACTATATTAATCATAAGACATTATCACTCATGTGATTCAAGCGAATTATTTCCTCACCTATATTTTTATTTTTTGTCAGATATAAGATATTTTGGAATTCACAGTGAGCTTCTTTTTCCATTGGTGAGTTCCTATTATATTTGCTGATATGTAATATTTAGCACATTGTTTCATAAAATGAGTTTTCAGAAAATCTAATCCTATGGAAAACTCATCAAGAAACTATTCTGTGTGCTAATAGACTTGTGATTCACATTAGCATTGTAAAAGCTCTAAAAAGACCTGTGTTAAAGAATCTTCACTTGTTTAATTTACCACTTCACGACTTATTTGATCATATAACCGCTTTTTCCATAATAGCTATTACTATGTCAAGGGACGACTTCTCCACACATTGGGAAATTATAATGAACTATAAATATTAATCTGCTGTGCATAGTCTTCCCAAATAGAACTACTTATTAAGCATCCAAAATAAGTTGCTATATACATATATATATATTCACTTCTCCAAGAGGAGATTCCAAAATACCTCTTAACTTAGAGGACTTAAATATAGGCCATATATGTTTTGCAAGTATTTGCTATTTACCTATAGGGAGATAATTGTTTTAATATATTATGAAACAATCAAATCATAGTACCACAGATCTTTTGGAACAAAAAGGGTAACTATATTTTAAATGTCCTTCCCCTCCACCACTAATTTCAGAAACCTGAAGCCTAGAGAACCTTAAGATCTTAGTGAATATCATAGTCTATAGTGGAACCATGGACTGAATATTGATCTCTTGAATGAAAGCCCAGTATTCTTTTCCTCACTAATCTAATCCATTGCCTAATAATCCATTTATATAAAAAAGTTCTACCTATGATGACAGTTGAAGTTTTTTATGACAAGTTTCAAAACAAGGACTAGATTTGTTTTAAATGCATCATCATTGCTAAACATCCTTTAAATGACATTTTGCATAATTGAGAACAAAGGTTGTAAAATAATTTTAAAATGAAATTATAATACGCAGAACAAATGTTTTTAAAACATCCAGTCTTTCAGAAGCATAAACTCTATGAAATCAGAAACGGAAAGTGAAAGTCAGATTCGTTGTATTCTCATTTGGTTAGTCTCTCATTTAATAACACACTCCTTCCAACATGAAACCACTCTTGGAGATCAAAGTCATTAGCAGAACAAACAGATCATGCTCTTTAGTTAATTCTAACCAGTTCTGTGGTTTAATCATAAGTTGTTTTTCCAAGGCAGAAACATTTCTGTTTATTAGGTAATATGGACCTTTAAAATTCATTTTCACTATAGTACCTTCTTCCTAATAACTTCAAATAAATTAAGAGATATGATGCCTTCAATCAACCATATAAAAACAAAGTTAATAGGAAAAATATATACTGTCCTCTCCTTAAATGAAGTTATTTTCTTTTATTATAATTTCACAATATTACTGAAAATTCCAGTTAATAATATAGAATTTGGTAGCTGTCAAAGGTATAAACTCATCCATTCCTATACTTTTTAACATAGAGTATTTGTGTCTATGTAAAAGAATCTCTTTACTGCCAGAAAATGCTTCCAACCTTTTCAAAATTAAAGAAATAACACACAACATATAATATTTTAACTAGACAATATTAAATGCAAAATTGAAGTCCAGTGACCTTAGCTCCAACATGTCTATAACTATATCACCATGTGGAAAATTAATGTTGCGAAGTAAACATGCTAATAAAATATACAGTATGTAGAATAAGATATATTTGCTGAAGAAATACACACTCAGAATATTGAATCATTAACAAAGCATTGAGAAATCATATATGCAGGTTAATTTTCTTAAAATTTTATCTTTCAGATTTTCTACTCTCCCCTGGCCCTCTTCATACCACCTTCAGTATATGCTGTTCATCTTCAGTTCAATCTTCTTTACCAATTTTGGATCCATACAGAGGTAAAACTTTTTTTTTAATCTTTGTAAGTTTTATATGTAAACAGCCTGAAGCAATGTCCTGGAAATGCACTAGCAGCTGATTTATTGTGTAAGAAAAATCTTTGTCTGCCTTTTTTTAAGCAGAAACATCTGTTCATTTTTATTCCTTTTTACTGAATATATATTGCAAAGTTTATAAGAAGCAATGAGGCCAGTTGGTCTCAATTACATAAAACAATTTTTTGAACTATTAAGTACCAAAACATTTTAATAGTATATTCAATACAATATCTTCCTGTATTACAGTTTATTAAACATTATTTACCAAGAGATGTTGAAATTCATTTCAATTTAGAGATATAAATTTGAATATGTGTATATATAAATGTATCTGTAATCTGTTGGAACTCTTCAAACTTTGTAAAAAATTTTACAGAAATTATGAAAATATTTTGATTGGAAAACTTGCTCTAACAACAGAGTTTGCATTTTATTTAAAGTTGTCCCGTGTATTGTTAGTTTTTTTCCCCCAAAACATGAAGAAATACAATTTTGAAGTCTGCTGTAGCATATCAAATTGTCAGACTTGAATGTTTGCAGATAGGTTATTAAGCAGCTGATTGGTTTATGAACATTTGTACAAATCCTATTGCTAAAATATCAAAAATCACAGACCCAGAAAAATTCTTACCTATACACACAAGTGCTCTTTTAAGCATTTGTTATTTATTGGAAGCCTTTGGAAGTTACTATAGGAGGCATGTTGACAGGTTTTGCAACTGGTTGAACAACACTACAAATCACAGCTGCATTATATGTGAAATCTTGATACAACAAAGTACATTGTTCTATTAACCTGCAGTATTTTATGCTACCGATTTACTTGGAATAAAGAGACTGTTACTATGACTTTGGACATATGTAGCATTATTTGAAGATCTATCATGAAATAGTATTGTGTTTTATGATACTTGACGTACATCAAGCAGTCAGTACTACAACCATCTGAAAGAGTTGTTGTGGCCGATTCTGACTCTAGAGGTCAAAGACCAAATTTGTTTAAATCAGTGGAGGGAAGCTTTCTGATGATTTACATGGAGGGGTTAAGGGAGAATTACATTTTATAGCAGCTCTGCTCCAGGTCACGCCATGTGTTGGGTCAGGTATTAGTTTGGATACAGAACAATAGTGCCTCAGTCACTTTACCCCTCTTCCTTTGTCCCTCTGAGAGGGCCATGAGCTAGGGCTTGAGCTCCATTTCATGAAGTAAAGCAGCAATGGAGAAAAGCCGCTGGTGAGACTCATTCCTATTGGCCAAGAACCTCCAAGTGGCTTCATTTCCACGTCAAAAGCAATGCTTAGAACCTCTCCCCTGTGTTACACTTTATGCTTTTCAAAATACTTTAATATATATGGGTTTCTACAGTTAAACTGCATGGGATGCAAGAAGACTAGTTCTTAAATTCATGGTTTCGATCTTAGAAAATTAAATTGTATTACTAACCATGAAAACATTTCTGAAATATTTCTCAACTGTGCAGTTACATTAGTTTATTATATACAACATAAGATAGTTTGTTTACAAATAGAATTATTCAGGAAGGAGAGCCAAGAGATTGGACACCGTGACTGCTTCTAGAGAGAAAGACAAATGGTATAGAGGGCATGAGTGGGGAGAGGTGTTAAGTATTTTTTAAAAATTATTTTTATCATTTGCCTGTTCTTCTTTTCAATAAAGAATTAATACACAGATTAATAAGTAAAAAAAATAAAAACTAAAAAGATCAGGCTTTCGTCTAGAAAAATACTCACTTTATGTTTTCCTGTACTGTAAATTGTGTGAACCCCTTTAGGCACATGCATACTGTTTAATATCAGGCATCATACTTGGATCTCCATGGATAGAAATGATATGCGAGCTGTAGAGCTGACAATGTTAGCCAAAAAGCCCTGTACATTTCTGAATAGAGTTTCATTCTTACAATTGTTTCACTTCTCCTAACTGATAAAAATCAGTTCTCACTAAAACGGGAATATGATCTTAAGAAGATACTGATTTTTTTTAAAGTGAAGAAAATTCAGATCTCTTAAAATCAATCACATTAGAATAATAGGAAGGTTGGGAGGCTGAGGCAGTTGGATCACGAGGTCAAGAGATCGAGACCATCCTGGTCAATATGGTGAAACCCTGTCTCTACTAAAAAAAATACAAAAAATTAGCTGGGCGTGGTGGCACGTGCCTGTAATCCCAGCTACTCAGGAGGCTGAGGCAGGAGAATTGCCTGAGCCCAGGAAGCAGAGGTTGCGGTGAGCCAAGATCGCGCCATTGCACTCCAGCCTGGGTAACAAGAGCAAAAGGAAGAAAACCTAAAACCACATTTTTGAAAGACTATGAGAGAAAAAATAGGCCATAAAGCACACTCAATATTTTATTGAAATTTTCTGTTTACTTTTGAGTTATTTTGATGAATGCCCAAAGTCTAGGCCGGGCACAGTGGCTCTGTGCCTGTAATCCCAGAAGTTTGGGAGGCAGAGGTGGGCAAATCACCTGAGGTCAGGAGTGCAAGACCAGCCTGGTCAACATGCTAAAACCCCATCTCTACTAAAAATACAAAAATTAGCCAGGCGTGGTGGTGCACACCTGTAGTTCCAGCTACTTGGAATGCTAAGGTGGAATAATTGCTTGAAACCTGGAAGGTGGGTGTTGCAGTGAGTCAAGATCCTGCCACTGCACTCCAGCCTGGGTGACAGAGTGAGACTTCTAAAAAAAGAAAAAAGACAGAAAGAAAGGAAAAAAAAAGATAAACAAAAGAAGAAACACAATCTATTGCCATCCTCTTTTTTTGAAAGTTATAAAACATTTGGCTTAAAACTCTACTCTGTTGCTTAATTTTTGTGACTGTATTTTTGTTTGTGTATTGTTTATGGATCTAAAGTCTACAGCACATATTCAGTTATACTTTTTTCTCGTGAATTCACTAAAGACAGTAAGAAAACCTTTTTATTTAATACATGTTTTTCACTTAGAACTGTGGAATGTTTTAAGTATTTTTTGAGATAGCAGGTGTTATTTGGATGTCAACTGAGTTTACACAGTACAGTAGCAATAGTATAATGATGCTATTACCCTATCACCTTTGTTTTTTCTTGAATTTATTATCTTGAGTTTATGTATATATCATGTGATGCTTGAGTAGAGAAATGTAGAGGAGAAACAACTTAATTATTTAATATTGAAGATTTGAGCCATCTGATTAAATGATTTTTATAGTGCTAAACTGAAACCTCTAAATGAAACATTATGCCAATATTACAAATACAAGGAGTGATCTCTTTATATACCAATATAGATAGACCTCCAAATAAATCAAGGTACATAACAAGATATAGCAGATCCTAGTATTTATTTTAAAAGGAGGGAAACAACTATATATTTTATATATTCAGTTATGCATAAAATGTTCAGAGAAAGATACTGTGGGTAGCCCATGGTTTTCCTGTGGGGAGCAGTATATGAGATGTCTGAGAGATAAGGATCAGAGTGAGACACTAACATTAATTTTATCCATTCTAATTTGGGTGAAGAGTAATCTCTCTGCAGTAGTATTTCTTTAATAACTAATGATGCTGAACAACTTCTCATGTATTTATTGGATGTTGCTTCATTTATTTGCTTTAATGAACTGTCTATACAAAATCTCACCTACATTTTATTGGGTTGTTTGCCTAACTGATTTACCTGAATTGCTTATAGACTCGGGAGACAAATATTATGTCAGAAACATGTATTAAAAATATTCCCTTGGCCAGGTGCAGTGGCTCATGACTGTAATCCCAGCACTTTGGGAGGCCAAGGTGGGTGGATCACGAGGTCTGGAGATGGAGACCATCCTGGCTAACACAGTGAAAACCCATCTCTACTAAAAATACAAAAAAAAAAATTAGCCAGACATGGTGGTAGGTGTCTTTAATCCCAGCTACTCAGGAGGCTGAGGCATGAGAATCACTTGTCTCCAGCTGAGATCACACCACTGCACCCCAGCCTGGGCAACAGAGCAAGACTGCATTCCATCTCAAAAAAAAAAAAAAAAAAAAAAAATTCCTCAATTTGGAACATGTCATTTTATTTTATTCCTGATGACTTTTCATGAGCAGAAATAATGAATTTTGAAGTTTAATATATATATATTTTAAATATTTTCTCTAAGAAATCTTTGACTATCAGAAGCTCTGAAAGATAGTCTTCTAGGATTACTTTTGAAATCTTTAGAGTTTTAACTTTTACCTTTACTCTGTGATATTCTTGAATTAACTATTACATGTGGTATGAGGTAGAAATTATGATGCCTGATTTGTATTTACATAACCACAACTATAGCCCCATTTATTATAGAGTCTTTAAAAAAAATCATCAGATGTTCTTGATGACTTGTTGAAAAAAAGTCAACCACATATGGTGGGATCTATTTTTAGACTCCTACTCACTTTTTTTGATGTGTGTCTTTTCCTTTATACCAATTCCTCAATTTGTTGATTATCATAGCTTTCAAGGATCCATTGTTCACACATTTGTAAAATAATCTGTTTAATTTTCTCTAGAATTTTTGTCATGCATAATTTTGTGGTCTTTGAACAAAGACAGCTTTATTTCTTATTCTTTTTTTCTGTATTTGTGCTTTTTTTTTTCTTACCTTACTGCTCTGGCAAGGAACTAGGTGGTATAAGAAGTGGCTAAAGTGAGATGTAGGCATCCTCTACTGACTTGTTCTCTCTCTCTCTCTCTCAATCTCTCTCTCTCCCCTCCCACTCCTTCTTCTCTTTGTGTGTGTATGTGTGTGTGCATGTGGCTACTCTAGGAATTAAATATGCATTCCTATCATATTCTGCTTTGAATTAATATAAATAATACTTATAAATGTAAGAATGTTATTGTAATATAATTCCATCTATACCATCCCAAACTTTTAGCTAGCATTCTCACATATGCTAATCTTTCACATTATAAATCCCAAAATATTATT